GCTGATGCCGAGTCTCCTTTTCCTTTGTTTTTCTCTTTTTCTGCCTCATTTAAGAATTCTAGCCCAAGGCAAAAGGTCGAAACATTGTCTTCGTTTTCGGACTCGTAGGCCGTGTTTCTGTTGTATCCATTATTGTCGCGAAATGTATTATTTTTCCCCGCGCTAACAATGGCCGCTCGCGCGAAAAAAAAAATTTCTGGCGAAGTCGGATTTGCTGACGCTATCAGCGTGCACTATCGGGATTTTGAGCACGCTTACGTATAATGAATTTGATTACGCGACTCTGCTAGCTATGTTCTAATTTCTGATGTTTCGCTCCATCTAAAAATGGCGTTTTCTTTGGAAAAGCGTGGGGGAGGGTATTATTTACTGCGAGGAACACTCAATAATTTGATTCCGTGATGATGATGGGGATTAGATTTCAACATTTAACAGTATTTAAGGTTGGGGTAGCTAGTGGTTGTCCCGGAATTTACGTATGCAAATGACGGAACTGAGTAACTTGTACAAACTCAAGGATTGTAATATTGAACTTTCTTTGGTAAAACTGCTCATTAAAGGAACGCAGCAATAATTAAGAGCTTCTAATCAAAAATGCACTCAATGCTTAGTTCTTAAAGACAACAGGCTTTATTGAAGAGTGTTCAAAATATTGCATTGTTATTTCCTAAATCTAGTTTACAGAATGAATATTTATATGCTGAGAACCTCGTTTTCTGTCGTTTTGGAGACCCTTTGGTGCCACTCCTGGTCACAGATGGGCGCCAAACCACCACTGGGTGGTGGAAAGATCACTTGCTGTGCAACGGAACTTGGAGTTGGTGACTCCATAATAGCCAAAGTTATCTTCACTTGACACTGAGCCGGACCTCGGGTTGAAGTTACAGCCGGAATGGCTGCTGTCGATGTGCAACGTGTAACTAGTACTCTGCCAAAAACTGGCAGTGAGATGAATACCCATGTGCCCACGGATATTCACGAACTCCACTTTCTTGCACGGCTTGCCGTCATTAATATAGTCAACAATGTTAAAGTCTTTAAAGCTACCACGGACGTAATCTGTAAAATCAACACCATGGGTCGGATAGCTGCAGGTTGCGCGCCAGTGAGTGGAGTGGGCCCGTAGGGACCTCATTCGAGTCAGACTCAAGCGGTACATTTTCCAGATCAGAGAGTTCTCGTTCACAGGAGCGTTATTCTTGAAGGGTTTGCTGCGTAGGGCTGACAGTGCACGATATTTGTTAGCCCAGGACATCACCAGGGTCCATGCAAAACCAGGCTCGGACTTGAAGTCACAGTAGGCTGGGAAACTGTTGCCGGAAGAATCGTAGAGTTGGTACATACCGCAGGCGGATGCGCCATGTAACAAATGATCAAGGCAGGAGGTGGCACGAAATTTTTTGTTGTCTTGTGAGTTGTCGTTTGGTTTAGGACAGGAATCTCCCTAGGAGCAACGAGAAAAAACCAGCATGGTCAGCAGTCGAAAACAGAATCAAACACAATGGGTCTGGAAGGGCGGGCTGAAAAACAACCACCAAAGGAGGGGGGGGAGGGCAGGATTCATAGAGACCATCCATGGAAGGGTGGAAGGTTTCATAGTTTCTAGAGGCCATCCATAGAGGGGGGCAGGGGTCCATAGAGGCCATCCATGGCGACATTTGGAAAGCTAAACTTAGAAATGCAAATTGTTCCTGAATTAGGTTAAACTTTTCGTTTCCCTCCCTGAACCTTACCTAAGATTGGGAAATAATCCGGAATCTCATTGGCTTTCCTTAACTGCGTATTGCGATTGGTACTGAGCGACTGTTTCATAATTTCAACGGGTGAGATGCAGATCAAAAGAGCCATTGAGCAATCGTGATTTAGTTGCATGACTGAATTACGGTTTTTAGACCAAATTTACTTTATGTTCCCATTACCTTCTTGTGATGCGGGTGTGCCTTTTCTTGACTACTCTTTGCCTTTGCACACTGAAAAATGCACGATTGCTCTGCTACTTTCCCGTTTGAGAAGAAATTAAAGACGTTTAGACGTTTACATGAACTCCAGTCATTTTCAGTTATTCCTTAGAAAAGAAAATCGGACCTTTATGTTTTCTTTCGTTCGCTGATTATTGAAACATGTAACGTTGAATGTTGTGTTCCAAATCTGTGTTTTAAACCCCAACAACATCACAAATGTTCTTCCTTTTTTTACTAATCAACGCCTTTATACTTTGTGAATTTTACTACGCGATTTAAGGGAACATAGTGACTGAAAGTTTCTACCTTGCATCCTAACGGATTCTTGTTGTTGGCTTCTGTTAGTGCCTAGAAAACAAAATACGGCGGTTAATCAATCATATATACTAAATTAAATATGAGCTAATGAACTGTATAAAATAACGATCAACATTTCATTTTCATAAGCCGTAGCAGTTTGTAGATATTATCATAATTTCAGCTTTTAAGGAATCTAAGATTGGAAGATTAAATGTTTTGTTTCATCTCATATTTTCGTCTGCACGGTTAAATTTTTTTCGATTTTTTAGTCGGGGAGAAGCCTTCGAACAGACGCATACGATTATTGTTAGGTACTCATAAGTAACAGCAAGAAATGTTCAGAGGTAATTCTAGTTTCTTATGGTGAGCTAAATATTATCAACAAACTTTCCCCCTGTTTTTATTGAATTAATGCAGATTTATAAAGCTTTTCTTCTCTTGGATCTCGAAAACCAGGCTGGCCGCATTCTCAAAGGAAAGCATTGATTTTGGCACGGGAAGAGTTATAAGGCGAGTTGTCGAGAACTGAACCTGTACAGTTTCAAACTTTGACTTACATTAATTTCCCCAGTCCAGTCCGCTCTAGATAATGTCTCTTTCAATATCTAATATTTTTTCTGATTAATAACTAGTTTTGAACTAGATCCGGTTCTTGGCTCTATCCGAAAGCTCCTTACAAATAAGATATCGATTGAAACGACTAAGCCTCGACACATGATGAGAGTCAGTCAAAAACTCACTTACCAAGAAAACGATGCCAATTAATGTAATTGCTTTCAACGCCATATCCGTGTATTACTGCGGTATCTGGGCGAGCTTCGATTTGTAAGCTTTGAACAGCACAAAAACTATAGGTTTCCTTATCTAGAAATTAGTTTCTATTTCGATGGCAGTCGAAAATATACTCAACGAGTGTTCCGATCGGGTCTTAAGGTAAGTTCATACGTGTACAAAAGAAGTAAACAAACTGGTAACATGAAAATGTCTCCCAAAACACGCTCGTCCCAGTCAAGGCAACTGAGCGATAACTGCACGTCAGCTCCGATTTGGAGATTTGTTTCTATCTTCCGTCGATTAAATTTGGATTTCGGAAACCGTGGAAATTTTAATTAGCTCGAGTTTTATCATTTTTCAACCATCTCGTTCTTCTGCAGTCTTCCGCGAGAGTCGGGAGACCGGGGAATGAAAATTTTCGACATAAACTTATGCAACTACACATCAGGGAACTTTGTATTATCCACGAACGAATTTTTTATAAATTTGTAAAAAACGTTATTTCTCGCATATTTCAAAGCAAAAGAAAAGATAGATAAAGTGGAGTCACGGTAATTTCAATACGTTAAAAAAAAAAAATAATAACAGTTGTACCTCGCTGGTGGTTTTTGAAACCATGAATTGACTGTCACCGTCGAGTTTGGGTGAAGTAGCTTTACTCAGTGGCGGATTTCTTATAGCTTGTTTCCAAGATTTCGTTTCGCTTCAAATGTTTAGGATTTGCCATTCTGCGGAGCAAAGTGGCAGGTAAGATATATTTTTGACGAAGTTTAAGCGAACGGCAAACAACGTCACGATCTAACTGTTTATGTCTGCCCTTTCGTCGTTTGTGCAAATATTTTAGTTGTCATGCACAGACTCTTATAAAACAAAAACCCTAAGCCAACCTTAATAAAACTTTTGACGGTCGTGCTAGTTATAGACGTAGTTCTGGTGAGCTTATCTAGTTTACCAGACCTTTTGTCGTTCGACTTTCCCATCATTCAGTCGACCGTAAATAACCCATCAAATCTTCGAGTGAAGTAAAAGTTTTGAATTATGGCGATTTGGTTTGAGCAGACGTAGTGCCTCAAATTAACTCAGTGTTTTTGGCTACAGTACAATGTGTCTGACCAGTAATGTGTCGAACTATACATTTAAAAATCCATTGAGGTTCGGAGATTTTATTCTCCTTTTGAGGATGAAAGCTGTGGTAAGAAGCTAATAGAAACAAAATAATTTGGATATATCAACAAAGTTGAAATGGTAAATTGGCCACCGTAACGATTACAAAAGCTGACGTTTCGAGCGTTAGCCCTTCGTCGGAGCGAAWAGAAACAAAATAGAAACAAAAGCCGTAAAACAACAAAGTAACATTCGTGCTCCATGGCCATGCTCCAACCACTCTCTAGCTGACTCAGACTCTAATAAAGTCTGACAGACACTTACGCTAAATCTCTCCCACGGTTAACTCTAATAGACACGGTGACGCTTTCGCATACACAATCGGTGGGCATGAGTGGGCTTGGGGCCCTATTAATCCGTTATCAGATGCCTGACACAAACACTTTCACCAGGATCTCAGGGATGAACAACTAGGTGCCTAATGCATGCTTCCGATCAATCAATCAATCAATCTTTGACTGCGAAAGCCGATATAACAACTTAAGTGTGGGTTTAAATCGAGGCCAGTAGATGAAGTAAGCACGTCCCGTCCACTATTAAGGAGACAGACAAGACAGTCAAACTCAGGAAACTCATCGCACGCGCATTTTACTAGCCAAAGCTTAAACAATGTTGCGCTTTGAATTCAAATCTTAAGTAAATGCTTAATGTAAACAAATCGTTCAATCACCACAAAAGGAAAAAAATTTCGTTTTGTCTCGTGCGTGAGACAAACGAACCTCAGATCTTCGGATTAAGATCTCTGAGGCAAACGAATGTTTACATCGCAAAATGTTTTGGGCTTGGCTCTCTTTCAAATGGTCAAGTGGCCCATGCAGTGACACACATCGTTCAGCGAACTGTTAAGAATTCGTCTTTTCATTGTTTAACCACACTGTTCTCATTGGTAACCGTTTTTTGTCCAAACATTCGCGATAAAATTCCTATATTATGGAATACTCTTACAGATTCTCTTAAATCTGATCTGCAGCTTCTTTTTCGTATTTTAAATCTTCCCTTAAAACATTCCTATTCCGGAAATTTTAGTTTTAGTATTGTGAAACACTACATAGGTTTTTATCCTATTTAACTTTATTTTTGTTAGTGTAGGTACTACTTACTGTTAGTATCATTGTTATAATTTATTTTTATTATGTTAAGTAAGCGCATTGAGATTCTTAAATGCGCTCATAAAAACCTTACTATTATTATTATTATAAATGATAGTATGGACTCATTCTCGACTGCGGTACCTCCTAAAGGTGTTGTTGATTTTGTTTCAAGTGGAATTTGGATTCCGAGAAGGTTAACTTAAAGGAGATAAGCACTTATTGCAACCATTTTTGGTTATACGCATGTCGCTTCTGACCATCTCTCATTGATACATTTGTTCCCACGTCAATGCATTAGAAATCGATCGTTTTGTTTCATTATTATTATCCCGCCGTTAAATAGGAGGGTACTCAGAAGAATTACTCTTCGTGCGTGACGTGACCACGAATCAAGCATCCGTTTGTTCATGTCAAAGACTGCTTATCCCCCTTTTCAGTTCGTCATAAAAATTTGTTCCAATTCACTCATCAAGAAAAGGTCAAGTTGGTTGGATATTAGCAAATTCTCTTTTAAGATTTTACAGATGGATACGAAGACGAGGTCCATGTAATACACAAAGACGGAAGAGACTAGGAAATTAATCAGCCAACTTGGTCATCAAAAGAATAACATAAATCGCAAAATGTTTTGGTCCTTGTTGATTGCAATACGTCATATTTACGTATGATGCACGATCCTCGCAGTAGATAGCGCTATTTAAGCAATAGCGAAAATCAGACCTGAA